AGATTTGAGAGAAAGAAAATGTCATCCCCATCCCATCAGAGACTTAATGAAGATCCAATAGAAAAGAAGGAAGAAGATCGTCCCTACGACTAGATGTGGACTATGGGAGTGGAGGTTGGCTTTGAACTGATCAGATCTGAACTCAGGGACGCCTAGTAAGTAGGGGTGTTCACCCTACCCTACAGGTAGAAAATATGGTCTTTCGTTTTCCTACCTAATACTTTGCTAAAGAATTTTTTTTTGGCCTACCCTACCTGATCAAGTGTGGTATTCCTACTCGATTTCAACCAAATTAATCGGGTAGGAAATTGAATGAACACTTTTGTAGTTATTAATTTTTGAATCATTTTAACAATTTAATTAAATAACATGCACTAATTTCAACAACACAATAAATCAATAACACTAAAATCTAAAACAATTACAACAACAATTACAATAAAACACAAGAAAACATAAACATCAATCCATCATAATTGTTACATAAATACAATAACAATTATTTTAAATTTAAACCATATGGTTAGGGAATCAAGATTTTTAGTTTATATATATATAAAATTAATTAATTAATGCAGGTAGGGTAGGATAGAAATACGGAAATTAATGACTATTCCACATTCCTATCTGATTTAATCGGAAGACCAAAAATTTTTCTGCATTCCTACCCAATTTTTTCGATTAACCGTTCAATAGGGTCGAAAATTACGGCTAATCAGAAATTTGAACACCCCTACTAGTGAGCGGTTGAACTCTTCTCCTTCTTTCGATTTCTTCTAAATCAAGTCACTGTTTTGACCAAAACGAACCGAATTAGTAACGTTCCGTACGAAACTCGAGAATTTTTTGCTTATATCCCTGGTTTGTGTCAGTATGTTGAAACCTAGAACGTTTCAGATGTTTTGACATGATATTTTGTTCCTTGCTCATGACCATTGTGGGCAACTAGATAGGGAAGATCTACAGAGATATACTCAATCTAGACATGTTAGTTCTAGGTGTCTAGAGAAGCAGATAACCACTTATGTGCCCTCCAGTCAATTTCAATCTCTAACTCTAGTTTCATAATCTTCGTCCCCTCCTTTTAGGTGATGAGCTCTTCCCTAATACTGTTGATCCTGTTATTGATGATACAAATGTTCCAATTGTTTTTCGAAAGAGAGTTCGAGCTTGTACCCAATATCCTATATCTAAATTTGTTTCATATGACTCTTTATCACCTATCTATCGTGCTTTTGTTTCCACTTTGTTTTTTGTGTCTCTTGCTCAAGGGTGGAAGGAAGCCTTTGTAGATCCTAAGTGGAAAGAAGCAATGACAAAAGGGATGAAAGCATTGGAGAAGAACAAAACCTGGGAGTTGGTGTCTATTCCACATGGAAAAAAACCTGTTGGTTACAAGTGGGTGTTTACAATCAAATAAAAAGCAAATGGAACTTTAGATAGATATATGGCAAGCCTGATTGCCAAAGGGTTCACCAAGACATAAGGCGTAGACTATTAGGAGAAATTTGGGCCTATTTGGTTTGTGTTTCAAAAAATAGTATCCAAAAACAGTTTTTAAGAAGAGTTTTAAGAAAGTGGTTTTAATATTTTTTGAGATAAAAAACTTGTTTGGTTAGCTGATTTCAAAAACAATTTTACAATACAGAAAATAGTAAAACCTGTTTTGACAGTCTAAATATATATTTGAACAGTAATTCAAACATTAATAAAAAAATTATTTTTAGATTGACAATTTCATAAATATATATATATATCCATATCTGAAGATCTAAAATTGTTCTCCTTGTTTCCAAAATTTTCGAAGAAAACTCTGAAAACAAGTTACACTTGTTTTCTGTTTCTTTGACTCAAATCTCAGTTTTTCCCAAAATCTAGAGAACAAAAATGTTCAACAAACAAATTTTTGGTGTTTTTGAAATTTTGAGAACAAAAAACTATTTTTGGATCACAAACCAAACATGGCCTTTGTCTCTGTTGCTAAAATGAACTCTATCTTCTTGTGCAACAAATTTGGGTTGGACTTTTGAGCAATTGGATGTGAAAAATGCATGTCCTCATAGGGATCTTGAAGAGGAAGTATACATGGAAATCCCACCAGGTTGCTCATCTCAAGCAACTGAAGGAAAGGTACGTCAGTTACAGAAAGCTATTTATGGACAAGGATCAAAATATCGTTTTGAAATGGTCAAAACGTCCAAAACGTTTCTGTTTTCAAAGAGACCGAAACAAAACAGTGATAGAATCGAAATTCTAATATTTCGAGATATTCCATAATGTTTTGAGATATGTTATAATATTTCAATGCATTTACACAATTATTTTGAAATATTTGAAGGTATTTCAAGATACTTTGATATATTTCAATCAATATTTTAGAAAAATAATTCTTAAATTTTTTATTTTTTTCATTATGTTTCTGAAACGGATCGAAACGTTTCCGTTTCCTAGGTGACCGAAACAATATACTGAAACAAAATTTTGATCCTTGTTTATGGGTTAAAGCAATCCCCTGTAGCTTGGTTTGATAGATTTCATAAAACTAAGATGAAGTTTGGGTATAAACAAAGCCATGCAGATTACACTATGTTCAAAAAGTTTGGGTACAGACAAGGAGCATGCAGATTACACTATGCTCATCAAGAGGGTGCATAATAAGATCACCATCCTCATTGTGTATTAGATGATATAGTTGTGGTGGGCAATGACCCAACTGTAAGTGTCCAACTTGAAAGATCACATGGCCAAGGAATTCGACATTAAAGACTTGGAAAATTCACACTACTTTCTTGGAATTCATCTGTTAAAGGAAGTAGTACATCCTTAATCTGCTAGACGAAATTGGGATGTTAGGTTGTAAGCCAGCATACTCTCCCATTGAAACCAATCATCACCTTAGAAGTGATGAAGGTGACCTGGTAGAGAAGGGAAGATACCATAGGCTTGTGGGGAGATTGATATATATTTCTCATACATGTCCAGATATAGCCTTATGCTGTTGGAGTTGCTAGCCAGTTCATGAATTAACCCTGGAATCCACATTCAGAGTCAGTCCACCGTATTCTGAGATACCTGAAGTCTGCTCTAGGAAAGGGAATTCAATTTTCTAAATCATGGTCACCTGAAATTTGAAGTATTCACAGATGCAGACTGGGCAAGATCCCTTGATGATAGGTGTTCTACATCAGGCTATTGTACCTTCTTGGGAGGGAATCTAGTCACCAAAAAAAAAACCAGTGGTTGCTATATCTAGTGCAGAAATTGAATATAAGACTATGGTACATGGAATTTGTGAACTTATGTGACTTCATAGACTAATGAGCGATCTAGCGATCTAAGAATTGTGATGACAGGCCTATGAAATTGTATTGTGACAATTAGGCAACCATCAATATTATTCATAATCTAGTTCAGCATGATCGAACGAAATATATTGAGATTAACAGACATTTCATTAAGAAAAAATTGAATGAGGGATTGATTTGTATGGCCTTTTTGACTTCAAAATAACAGTTGGCTAATATGTTTACTAAAGGTCTTAGTAGTAAGGTTTTTCATCCTCTATTGCATACAAGTTGGCTGTGAAAGATAAATAGGCACCAACTTGAGGGAGAATGTTAGATTATGAGATATTATAGAATACGGCATTACAGTAATTTCCATTTTATTCGAATGGTATAAATATATGTGGAGATGAGGGATGAGGCAGTTCTCTCTTTTAACCTAAATTCTTTTTCTTCTCTCTTCTTCTTCCTTCCCTCTCTTATCAAAACCCTAACATCACTTTGGGTTGAATTCTAACTGGCATATTAGTCTTTTCTAGTTTATCATGATAATTATATACATGAATCTCACTTTCTATTCCAAACTTTACACCTAACAACCAAGTTAGTGCTGAACATAGTATCAGAGCTAATTTAGGGAAAGGTTGGGGCAATATTGTATTTTATTCATTTGATAATTGATTCTCTTTTTATTTATAACATAAGTGCATTTATTACGTCTCTGAAATTGCTTTACGATTATCTTGTTTATCTCTTCACGGATAACTGAGTGCTAGAGTTTGTCCCATGTTGATAAACTAACACTCAATAAATTTATGATTCGTTTGAGCCTTTCCATTAATTGTCAATGGGTTTTAAGTTGAATGCTTTAACATGGAATTCTAGAAGTATTCTACGTTCAAATCTAACCGCCACCTTGAAAATTATAAAATTTACATACATGATTCAACTCAACAAATCCTTCATACAAACTATTTGGGGTCGACTATATGAATTATGTTTCTCCGTTATACTCTATCAAGGGCTATATTTTTTGTTAAACAGTACGCTACCATATCTTCTTTTACTATTTCATTCAAAATTATTATACATCCACCTCTAATTCTTGCATTACCATTATGTTGTGTCAAATCACTCTTCCTTGATATTGCATTACTAGATCTTTTACAAATATGTTGAAACCACTTAAGTCGATTCTCTCTTACTTTATCTCTTTTTGGTGCTACTTCTACGGTTCCATGAATGTACTCATTCTTAATTGTATTTTTTCTTGTTATACCACACATCCATCTTGACATCCTTATTTCTGCAACACTTAGTTTTTAAGCAAGTTATTTCTTCATTGCCAAATATTGAGTAACAAAGAGTAGGTGACGAGACATGTTGACGTACATGAATACTTGTAATACATCATCTCTAACTGCTTAAGTTTTCAAATGATTTGTGGTAAAACATGTGATAGATATAAACCCTTGAATAATCTTATTTTAGTCAATAGTTGACTGATACTACATCTAAGATGTTCCATATTTGAAACCATAATTGTCGTAAATCAGTTGCCCAATGGAATACAGATGGAAAAGAAAGCTACCCATTAGAACAATCTGCTCGATCCAAGCTTTGGATGAGCACTTGGCAATATCAAGAGTAGAAAGAAATTTTGTTTGTACTAAAATATAACATATAATTCAAGATTTCTAGATAACACAACTAGCATTACATACCTCTCATTGGCTTGTTTTGTTCTCCTTTTCCTTGATCTTTTGTTTCACCAGTTGTTGCAACGCTTGGAGTGCTTTCATTGCTACTAATGCTACAATTACTTGTGGCGGTTGGCCAGCTTAACCCCCAATCATCTGCAAACAAACATAACATTTTGTTTGTAGAATGGGGACACCAACTTATTTGAGCAAAATAAAGGTCGGCTAATGTGAATAGCAGGAACAAACCTTTCGTGACATGAGACACACTGATGGGTGACAGACTATTGTTAGTACAGGAAGATAAAGATGCATTGCTTATCATGTCTCTGGGAACTGAAAATGAATCTGGCCTGCGAGCATGCCCAGGTTCATGCAGAGCTGCCGAAGATTGAAATGGTCCTGTAACGTGGGAGGCAGCTGGAGCAGGCAGTTACACGAGCATACACAAGTGCTCTTACTGGTACAAACCCTTCAAAAAAAGAAAGTGATATATAAATAACAGTTCCAACCATATTTTGGGCCCTTTTGAGGATATGTATCAGCAACTTTACTCTTCGGCCGAGGAGGAGCATATGTTCACTAGACCCACTCTTCTGAATTTTTAAAATGTATTTTTGTGCATGGCTATGTATCTGCAAAGATCACCCTTGAACATCTGGTTTAGGGATGAAACTACACAAGCATACTGATGAAAACATGTAGGAGTCCACTTGCTGCAGAATGGTTGCCTAAAATTATGAGCCATAGAGCATAAATGCAGGTCATACCAAAGTAATAATTATTTGTATTAGGAAATTCGATAAAGTATTCTCTTGACTTTATGTGAGATAATGAATTCCTCATACAGGATATATTGCTTGAACTCTTCTTTCAGAACTATGCAGTACAACCTTAACAAGGTTATGTGGCGAAAAAAATTAAGATATAATTCAACTTGTAATAGGATTCCTTTATCTCTCCATTTTTTTTCCAGAAGATCAAAAGATTATATGAGTTGATGATATCCAGTACACACAATTTATGCCAAAATCTATTAAGTTTGCTTAAGACAGCAACTAACATATTGACTTGCAGAAGCATTTGAGGGTTTTTTCAAACCCATATACAGAAGTTGGAAGTCATTCAAAAAATTAAACCAAAGTCCACAAGTTCCCTTGAATTTCGGCGGCAGTGGAACATATGAGAAATGGGGATAAAATTAATGGGATGCTCTCTGTGGGAAAATTCTTCTGGCCGGAATTGCAAACCCCAGCGAATAAAATTAATGCCATAGATTCAATTACCCCTTGGCATGAAGTTAGCTGGGAACTTCATATTTCTTAAGCAGATTTTGAGTAACCAACAATATAAAAAATTAAGAATCCAAGCAGTCCCAAAACATACTAATTTAAACAACAAGATTCTTGGATATTTGGTTAACGCTATTTATCCAAATTATACTACATAAATGTAAAATCATTACATTTGATAATTGGTTAACCCCCAATCATCTGCAAACAAACATAAATGTAGACAATTTGATAATTGTTACTTTGTGATATCCAATTTCATGTCCAGTTATATTTCATGATTCTACTCAATCAGATAATTGTAACCATTTTTGCGACATAGCAGTGCTCCAAGGAAATGAAAAACCGTAGCTTTCTTAAATGAAGCTTTAAGGTGAAATAGAAATATCAAATTTTAGACGATCAATAACTTTAATGGCAACCCAAAATTCATATAGGCTGATCACTAATTTTAAAAAGCAATATGTAAATTGTGTGACTACAAAAGCTGAAAATATGGTGTAACAGCATAAACGATTAGAAACATCTATAATTCCCTGTTTAGTTCCTGAGAAAACAAAAGAAATTATTGAACAAATTCCACGCACACAGAAAAGCAAAACCATCTGCCTTAACCAAAGGCAACCGCATGTCAAAACTTTCCAACAACAAAAATAAAACTAATCCAGAACCCAAAGCTTCTGGTTAGTTAAACAGAAGCTCATCAAATAGAGAGAGAGAGAGAGAGAAGCTTTCTGTTAATTAAACAGAAGCACATCAAATAGAGAGAGAGAAAGAGGGAGAGAGAACTTACAGTTGGAGTGCTTCGAGAAACATGCCGTCCTCTTGTTCGGTCCTGCTCTCCTTAGACTTAGTGATGGTGTAAGGCTTTCGGACCGTCCTATTCAAATCCTCCGACAAAAACCCAGAATCTAAATTCACATTCCAAGCAGTAGACTCTGTTGTATTAGCAGATTATAAATTACATTTGGTGGTATCAAATTAAGACCCGGAAGACCCATTTTCATAGGATCCACTATGGAGAAACTTTTGAGCAGGTGGGTTCGGATGTAGTACATACACCATGTGTGAACAACTTTGGACAATTAAGAATTTGAAAAGCAAATTCTGATTTGTTTTTGTTTTTGTTTTAGGTGGCGGTTGGGATGACTTATGAAAAGTATTTTTAGAACTTATAATGACTTTCCATAAGTACTTTAAACAAAAAACAAAAAGTAGCTCTTGGTTGTCCTTATTAAAATTACTTTTAAATAGGTCAAAAGTAATTTTACCTATTAAATAAGTCAATGTAGCAATAAAAAAAAAAAAGAAATGTTTACTTCCCTAAAAACATTTCTATGTTAAAAATTTATTATATTTATCTCATACTAAAATCCACATTTATATAAATAAAGTACAATATAATTCAAATATTAAAAGATAAATAAAATGACTTTTACTTTTCACAGTTGAAATCTCTTTAAATTTTACTTTAAAGTTAATTTGACGATTAATATTAATACCCCATATTTAATAGAGAAAAAAGCTCTTAAGGGTGTATTTGGAATGACTTTTTAAAAGTGATTCTAGAACTTACAACTTCTCATAAGTACTTCAAAAAAAAATGTAATGTTTGGATTGTCACCACCCACCACCACTATCGTCGCCCCACCACCATTGCCAACCACCATCACCGTCATCCCACCACCACCATTGTCGTTACCCATGACTGCCACGATCACCATCATCACAAAAAATCCACCACCACCATCACCATCACCGTTGCCACCCATGGCTACCACCATCACCACGGTCGTCGCCCCCCACCACAACCATCACCATCTCCCACCATCACCACTGCCACCACTCACCCCCATTACAACTGGTATTTAAATTCTTTTCTCTTTCCTCTATATTTGTGATTTAATTTTGGGTGAATACAAATATACTTATTGTTGACCATTTTTTTTATTGCTTCATACTTCAGTCATGAACAATAACTAGTACTAATACACTCAAATACACACATAGTAATATGTGAAAATACACACACGATAATGCACCAAAAATCACAGACATACACTAAGACGTAATAATACACATATTAATACATCAAAACAACATGCACACACTAAGATATAAAAAACACACACCTTCTTATACACCACAAATCGTACGCACACACCAAGAATATAAACACACACACTAATACACCAAAAACCCCACCCACACACGAATACATCAAAAATCACACCCACACAAAAATACACAGAGTAATATGTGAACATACACCAAAAACCACCGACATACACTAAGATGTAACAATACACACACTTACCAAAAACCACATGCACACACTAAAATATAAAAAACACACCCACTAATACACCAAAAACCATATGCACACACCAAGATATAAACGCACACACCAAGATATAAACACACACACCAAGATATAAACACACACAGACTAATACATCAAAAACTAAACCCATACAAACACACACGTGAATGCACCAAAAATCACACATATGCACTGTATGCACACACACAGAGACACACACACGGAGACACACAAACATTCACAAAGTAATATATAAAAACACAAACACTAATAGACCAAAAATTACGCACACATACTAATATGCAAAAACACACCCACACAAATACTCTAATATGTAAAACACACACACACAGTGTGACTAATGCACCAAATATCATGCGCACACACCAATGTACCAAAAAAGCATACGCACACACTAATGTACCAAAAATCACACACACACACACACTAATATGTAAAAACACATAGACTAATGCACCAAAAAACACACATTTACGCACACAAACACACAATAATACACCAAAGACCAGACACCCACATTCACACAGTAATACACCAAACACACAAAAATTCTCTATGTTATACACTAAAAAACACACATACCTCTATACACCAAAACATACGTACTAATATATAAAAAAAAAACACATAAATACATCAAACAAAATACACACTAAGATACAAAACACTGGCACACATACTCTTCTGCACCAAGTTACACACTCTAATATGTACATACACACCCACACACACTAAGATGTAAAAACACACACACTAACCAAAAATCATACGCACACAAACACACTAATATGTAAATTCACACACACACATCAACAACCACAGCCACACAAACACTAATTTACTAAAAAACATACAACACACTAATGCATCAAAAATCACATGCACACACTAGTATACTAAAAGTTACACACACACACACACACACATAAATGCACCAAAAATCATACGCATGCACACACGCAAACACATACACAAATTTATATGTAAACACATGCTAATACATCAAAAATCACACACAAACTAATACGTCAAAAACCACGCCCACATAAACACAATAATATGTAAACACACATACTAATACACTAAAAACCATACACAAACACACTAATGTACCAAAAATCACAAGCGCGCGCACACAAACTTTAATGTACCAAAAATCGCGTGCACACACACTAATATGTAAAAACAAACACAAACACACTAATACATTAAAAATACCCCCCCCCCCCCACACACACACACAGAGTTATATGTTAAAAAAAAACACGACAATATGCCAAAGACCACACACACACACACGAACACACTAGTTCACCAAAAATCACACAAACGTGCACACGCATAGAGTAATGTGTAAACACATAGTAATAGACCAAAAATCACATGCACACACTAAGATGTCAAAAACACACACCACTACATTAAAAAAATACACACACACACTAATGCACCAAAAAGCATACGCACATGCACACACATTGTACCAAAAACCACCTGTACTATAACAACTAAGTTAGTGCTTAACATGATATCAGAGCTAAGCTAGGGAAAGGTTTGGGCAAGATTCTATTTCATTGATTTGGTAATTGATTTTCTTTTTATTTATACCATAAGTGCATTTATTACGTCTCTGAAATTGTTTTACGATTATCTTGATTATCTCTTCAAGGGTAACGGAGTGCTAGAGTCTTCCCATGTCAATAAACTAACACTCAATAAATTTATAATTCCGTTGAGCCTCTCAATTAATTGTCAATTGATTTTCAATTGAATGATTTACAATGGAATTCTAGAAGAATTCTATGTTCGAATCTTACCGCTACCTTGACAATTATAAAATCAACGTACACAACCCAACTCAACAAATCATTCATCCCAACTATTTGAGGTCGACTATATGAATCATGTGTCTCCATTGTACTTTATCAATGGCTATATTTTTTGTTAAACCGTACGCTACCATATCTTCTTTTATTATTTCATTCAAAATTATTTTACGTCAACCTCTAATTCTCGCATTACCACTATATTGTGTCAAATCACTCTTCCTTACTATTGCATTACTAGATTCTCTACAAATATGTTCAAACCACCTAAGTCGATTATCTCTTACTTCATCTCTTTTTGGGGCTACTTATACGGTTCCATGAATGTACTCATTTCTAATTGTATATTTTCTTGTTATGCCACACATTCATCCTATTATCCTTTTTGCCGCAACACTTAGTTTTTGAGCATGTTATTTCTTCAATACCCAACATTTAGTAATATAGAGCAGGTGAAGAGACATGTTGAAGTACATGAATACTTATAATACATCATCTCTAATAGTTAAGTTTTTAGATGATTTGTGGTAAAACATGTGATAGATATAAAACCTTGAATAATCTTATTTTAGTCAATAGTTGACTGATCCTACATCTGAGATGTTCCAGATTTTGGGCCATACATTGTCGTAAATCAGTTGACCAATGGAATGCAAATGGAAAAGAAAGCTGCCCATTAGAACAATCCGCTCGATCCAAGCTTTGGATGAGCACTTGCAATATCAAGAATAGAAGAAATTTTGTTTATACTGAAATATAACGGAAAATTCAAAACTTCTAGAGAACACGACTACCATTACATACCTCTCATTGGCCTGTTCTGTTCTCCTTTTCCTTGATCTTTTGTTTCACTCATTGGTGCAACGCTTGAAGTGCTTTCATTGCTGCTAATGCTACAATTACTTGTGACGGTTGGTCGGCTTAACCCCCACTCATCTGCAAACAAAGACAACGAAGAACATTTTGTTTGTAGAACGGGGACACCAACTTATTTGAGCGAAATAAAGGTCGGCTAAGAGCATCTCCAACAACAGAAGTTAATTTAGCTACTCAAAAAATATTTTCTATTTTAGCTGCTCACTTTTTCAATACCCGCTCCAACAAATTTTCTTTATTTTTAACTATTTCTTTTAAATATTATTTCTCATTCCTTTTGTATTATTTTTCTTTAGAATTGTGAAAGGGAGGGAGAAAGAGAGAGAATGGAGGAAAAGAAAGGAGGATAAATAAAATATTATAATAATTTATACATATTGCTATAGTTCCTCTAAATATAGAGTATCATTGTAGCAAAATGCTATTTTACATGTTTTTGAGGTATTCTATTGGAGTGAAATTTTAGGACAAAATAGCTAAATTTTGAAGTTTTTGTGTATTTTACCTATTCTCTTGGAGATGCTCTAATGTAAATAGCAGGAACAAACCTTTCGTGACATGTGACACTCTGATGGGTGGCAGAGTATTGTTAGTCCAGGAAGAAAAAGATGCATTACTTATCATGTCTCTGGGAACTGATAATGAATCTGGCCTGAGAGCATGCCCAGGTTCATGCAGAGCTGCTGAAGATTGAAATGGTCCTGTAACCTGGGAGGCAGCTGGAGCAGGCAATTATAAGAGCATACACACGTGTTCTTACTGGTTCTATACAAACCCTTGAAAAAAAGGAAGTGACATATAAATAACATTTCCAAACATATTTAGGGGCCTTTTATGGATATGGATCAACAGCTTTACTCTTCAGCCGAGGAGGAGGCATACATTCACTAGTTCCACTCTTATGAACCTTTAAAAATACTTTTGTGCACGGCTATGTATCTGCAAAGATCACCTTTTAACATCTGGTTTAGAGATGAAACACACAAGCATAATGATGAAAACATGTAGGAGTCCACTTGCTGCAGAATGGTTGCCTACAAATTATGAGCCATAGAGCATAAATGCAGGTCATACCAATGTAATAATTATTTATACTAGAAATTCAATAATGTATTCTTTTGAAGATCAATTATCTAATAACTAACGTCATGGGGCAGTTCAACAGAAAAGTCAAATATCTTTTTCATATACTTTATATGAGATAATGAATTCCTCATATAGGATATACTGGTTGAACTCTTCTTCCAGAACTTTGCAGTACAACCTTACCAAGGTTACTTAGCGAAAAAATTAAGATATAATTCAACTTGTAATAGGATTCCTTTTATCTTTCCAATTTTTTTTCCAAAAAATCAAAAGACTATATGAGTTGATGATATCCAGTACACACAATTTATGCCAAAATCTATTAAGTTTGCTAAGACAACAACTAACATATTGACTTGCAGAAGCATTTGAGGATTTTTTCAAACCCATATACAGAAGTTGGAAGTCATTCAAAAATTAAACCAAAACCCACAATTCCCTTGTATTTCTGCGGCAGTGGAAGTAAGGAGAAAATTACTTATCTTTGTGTTAAATGAATCTTCCAAAAATCGAGTTTCATCCATGATATCTTTCAATAACAAAAAATCAACTGTCGAATAAATGACAAAGCAAGTTTCAATTCAAAATTACCTGGATAACTGTTTTTGACCCAACAAAAGCTTCAATCTTTTTCCATCACGGTCAAAGCTGAAATTTGTCAATTAAACTGGGGGAATTACCAATACGTCTTCCCATACGACATCAAAATTGAAACGACGACTAGAAATCATCCTCATATGTTGATAATCTTAAAATTAGGCACATCTTGTATTGTTGTTTAACCGGCCCCCCTCCATTTGACCAATGGGCTGTTCTATGTGAAAATTCCCGTGGCCGGAATTGCAAATCCCGGCGAATGAAAATAATGCCATAGATTCAATTACACACCTTGTCATGAAATTAGCTAGGAACTTCATATTTTTTAAGCAGATTTTGAGTAACCAACAATATAAAAAATTAAGAATCCAATTAGTCTAAAAAAAATACTATCAAAAATATAAATATACCATCTGACACCCCCCCCCCCCTATATATACATATATAGAGAGAGTTACTGCATGAATTAGTTCTTGGATATGAGATTTGCAAAGAAGACCAATGCAAGTGAGATCTGAGTTCTTGGATTTGGGATTTGCATCTCCTCCATCGCTGAGAACTTACATCTCAGAGTCTTTTGCTGAGATCTGAGTTTTGCCATTGATTTCGCATGTCTGTTCTTCGCCATCGAATGAGCGAGAGCGAAAAAGAGAAAGAGGCAGAGAGAGGAATGGAGAAAGGAGAGGTAGAAGTAGGTAGGAGTAACAGACAGAAAGAATAGAGAGGTAGAAGAAGAGATAGAGATGTAGTGACAAAGACAAAATTAAGTAATAGAACTAATTGCCTTCTTTGTCTTGTAGTATTTTTCTTCTTCATCGTCTCTTCTTATACTTCTAGCGTAGTTCTTTTTCTTTTATCCTTATTCTTGTAATTTTATTCTTCTTGTTGTCTTTTTCTTCTTCTTTTTCTTGTAGTCTTCTTGCACTTTTTCCTTCTTCTTGTAATCGTCGTCTTGTTCTTCTAATTCTTCTTATTGTAGATGTCTTCTTGTATTCTTCTTCGTATTCTTGTAGACTACTTATTCCTATTGGAATCTTCTCCTTCTTCTTCTAGTCTTTTTCTTCTTCTTTAGGGATGGACTTTGACTCTGACAAAGTTGGAAAGCACACATCTGACCTCCGACTCTGGCTTCAATCAAAGTGAATTTTTTCCTCCGACTCTAAATTTGAATGACTATAACTTTGGTTTCAACTCCACCTTGTCAGAGTCGGAGCAGTGTGTCAAAAATGTACTCAACCCCCCAAAAAACAATATTATCAAAAATATAAATATACCATCAGACACACATGCACACATACATGTGTGTGTGTAGATATATATATATATATATTTGTGTATGTATACACACACACACACACACATATATATATACGCATATATATTTATAGTGAGAGAGAATACCAACCTGAGTGAGTTCTTGGATTTGAGATTTGCAGAGAAGACCATCATAGGTGAGATCTGAGTTCTTGAATTTAGGATTTGTAGCACCTCCATCACTGAGATCTCATATCTTTGAGGTTTTAGCTGAGAACTAAATTTTGCCACCTATTTTGCAGGTGTATTCTTCGTCATCGAAGGAACGAGAAATGAGAGGTAGAGAGAATAGTGAGGCAGGAGGGATAGAGATGCAGAGAGAGAAACGGAGAATAGAGGTAGAGAGAGAAAGAGACGAAAATAAGTAAAAGGACTACTTGTCTTCTTCATCTTATAGTATTTTTTCTTCTTCTTCGTCTTCTTATATTTCTAATTGTAGTTGTTCTTCTTTTTCTTTTATCCGTATTCTTCTTGTTGTCTTTGTCTTCATGTTCTTGTTATTGTTCTTTTTTTCTTCTTCTTCGACTTGTAGTCATCATCTTGTTCTTCTTGTTCTTTTTCTTCTTTTTAGTAGTATTTCTTCTTGTATTTTTCTTCTTCTTCTTGTAAACTACTACTCTTCATGTTAGAGTCTTCTTGTAGTCTTTTTTCTTCTTCCATAGGCTAAGCTTTGACTCCGACGGAGTTGCAAAGCACCCATCCGACCTCCGACTCCGACTCCGACTCCGACGTTAATCGAAGAAAATTTTTTTACCTCCAACTTAGAGAGACAAAAAATTTTACCTCCGACTTGGACAAAATTGATATTTGAGTAAGTTCTTGGTCTGAGATTTGCAAGGAAGAGCACCACAGGTGAGATTTGAGTTCTTGAATTTGGGATTTGCACCACCTCCATTGTTAAAATATAAGTTTAGCTACCAATTTTGTTGGTGTGATCTTCATCATTGAAGAAGCGAAAGAGAGAGGGGGGCAGAGAAAAGAACGGATAGAAGAGAGGCAGAGGCAGAAGAAATGAAAGACGGATAAAATAGAGAGACAGAAGGAAAGATAAAGATGTAGAGAAAGGAATGGAGATGGGTGCAAAGAGACAAAAATAACTAAAAGGACTAATTGTCTTCTTCGTCTTATAGTATTTTTCTTCTTCGTCTTCTTATACTTCTAGTTATAGTTCTTCTTCTTTTTCTTTTATCCTTATTATTGTAGTTTTCTTCCTTTTGTTGTCTTTTTCTTCTTCTTCTTGTAGTCTTCTTATTCTATTTTTCTTTTTCTTGTAGTCATCGTCTTATTCTTCTTGTTCTTCTTTTTAATAGTCCTCTTCTTCTTCTTATTGTATTTTTTCTTCTTTTTCTCCTTCTTATAGAATACTTATTCATGTTAGAGTCATCATCTTCTTCTTTAGGACTGGACTCCAACTCCGAAGGAGTTCGAAAGCACACATCTGAATTCCAACTCTGACTTTAATCAGAAATGGAGCAGAGGCGGAGCAGCGTGTCGAAAATGTACACAGCCTAAAAAAAATACTATCAAAAATATACATATACCATCAGACACACATACACATATATTTATATATAGAGAGAGAATTAATGTCTGAGTGAGTTCTTGGATCAGAGATTTGCAAGGAAGACCATCGCAGTTGAAATCTAAATTCTTGTATTTAGGATTTGCATCTCCACCATCAATAAGATTTCAGATCTCTGAGATTTTTGCCATCGAATGAGCAAGAGACGGAGAGAATAGAGAGGCTGAAAGAGAGATAGAGATGCAGAGAAAGAAACAGAGAAAGACAAAAATAAGTAAAAGGACTAATTGTATTCTTTGTCTTGTAGTATTTTTCTTCTTATTCATCTTCTTATACTTCTAGTTGTAGTTCTTTTTCTTTTATCCTTATTCTTGTAGTTTTCTTTTTTTTTATTATTGTCTTTTTCTTCTTCTTGTAGTTGTCTTTTTGTTCTTCTTTTTATTAATCTTCTTCTTCTTGTATTTTTCTTCTTTTTGTAGATTACTTCTTTATGTTGGACTATTCTTCCTCTTCTTTTAGTCTTTTTATTCTTCTTTAGGGCTAAGCTCCGGCTCCAACAAACTTAAAAAGCACACATCCTATTTCAATCAAAGTGAATTTTTCCCCACGAGTCTGAATGACTATAACTCTGATTCCAACTCTGCCTTGCGAAGATAGAGCGGCGGCAGAGCAACATGTCAGAAATGTACACAACCTTAAAAAAATACTATCAAAAATATACATATATCATCAGGCACACACATACACAAACACACACATATATATGAATATATATAAAGAGAGAATTACTATCTGAATGAGTTATTGGATATGAGATTTGTACGGAAGACTATCACAGGTGAGATATGAGTTCTTGGATTTGGGTTTTGCACCTCTTCCATTGCTTAGAACTCATATCACAGATCCTTGAGTTTTTGTTGAGATCCGAGTTTTATCACCGATTATGATGGTGTGTTTTTTGCCATTGAAGGAGAAGAGGGGTAACGAGAAGAACGGATAGGAGAGAAGCAGTAGGAGCGAGAGACAGAGAGAATAAAGTGGCAATAGGAGAGATAGAGATGCAGAGAGAGGATTGTTCTTATTCTTCGTCTTGCGGTCATTTTCT